GGGGGTGAACAGGGGTATACAAATCCGCCCAAATTTGAAGCAAAATCCGCGGTCCGACAATGGTCTTGTCTAAATTTGAATCCGCTAAAAGCCCTACTATGGAGTCACAGTCCAGGATCCGAACTAAATTGCAAGCAAAATCCACAATCCGAGCCAAAATATTAGATAAATCCGCAATCCGCTGTATTAATAAGATCCGCAAATCCGTGTAAAATATTTGCTGTGTAAAATATTAATAAGATCCGAAATCCGAACAATTTTTTCTGTGAAATCCGACAATCTGAAAACCTATTCACCCCCCCTCCCCGAATCTAGTGATAGTCTCTAAAGTTTGAGAAGGAAATAATGACCTAATGATCGCCCCTGACAGCCCCCCCCAATCAGCCCACCCCCCAATACAAAATTGCTTCCTACGGTAGTGTAGTTTTTTCGCTATATGAAACCGGGAACCACAGGTATTTTTTTATGCCTAGTTAGCACTAATTTTTAATAATTATGACTGATGTCTCTGCTAAATACACTCTACCAAACACATGTTCTGTGTTTAATATTGCAAGTCGTGGAACAAAATTCAGTTTAATAAATTTATGATAATTAATAAATTTATGATAATTTTATTGGAAACTGAGCTTTGATGTTTCTACAAAACAAGTGAAAACATTGGTTATATTTAACAAATATAAAACATTTTCTGTTTTGATATACAGTTATGAAATGGTTATATCAACACTCGTGGAAATTGGTAGAACTCGAAATTGTGAAAACACTGTGGTGGGTGTAATTTTCACAAAATTTCGAGTTTTATATACCAATAATTTCCACGAGTGTTGATATAACTGTATATCAATACAGAAAAAAGTTTTATATTTGCTTTATAACATAGCACAGAGAAATATAAAGAAAGAAATTTTCCGATGTTTCTGTGTTGACATTGAGTTATATTAACACGGCTCTTAGCCAATCAGCGTTCAGAATTTACAAATGCTATATTATAATATCTATTATTAGCCTGTAAGTACAATTTAGTACACTTTAAACAGACAAAAATGTGAGATTTAAAGACTTTATTGTGAGGCAGCGAGAAAGCAACAAAAATCACGAGTCGTATGATATGACAAAACGGTGAGAGTAGGCAGATCTGAAATCATGTAAAATTATGGTGCCTCTGAAGCGATATTGGCTTCAGGTTTATGAATGTTTTCTAAATTATTGACATTTATTATTGTTATAATTTTCTTCAGTTGAAGGTGGTGGTTGTGTGGAACCTGATCCATTTCAAGCTGATCTTTTGTTTTCTGAAAATAATGAGGCTGCTGACATTCAAAGGTATAATCCTACATTTAGCCCCATGTCCAATAAGCCCCCTTCTCCAAATTATAAGCCGTTTCTCTGATAACCCCCCTCTGCAAATTGTAAGCTGCCTCTCTAATAAACCGCCTCTATAAATTAAGCCCCTTTCTAATATTAACCCCCTCTGCAAACTATAAGCCCCCTCTCTGATAAACCCCCTTGGCAAATTATAAGCCCCCTCTCTAATAAACCAACTACAAATTATAAGCCCCCTCTTTAAAATAAACCATCTCTCCAAATTGTAATCTCCCTCTCTAACAAACCCCTTCTATAAATTATAAGCTCCCTCTCTAATAAACCAACTACAAATTATAAGCCTCCTCTTTAATAAACCCCTTCTATAAATTATAAGCTCCCTCTCTAACAAACCCCCTTTATAAATTATGAACCCCCTCTCTAACAAACCCCCTCTATAAATTATAAGCTCCCTCTCTAATAAACCAACTACAAATTATATGCCTCCTCTTTAATAAACCCCTTCTATAAATTATAAGCTCCCTCTCTAACAAACCCCCTCTATAAATTATAAACCCCCTCTCTAACAAACCCCCTCTATAAATTATAAGCTCCCTCTCTAATAAACCAACTACAAATTATAAGCCTCCTCTCTAACAAACCCCCTCTATAAATTATAACCCCCCTCTCTAACAAACCCCCTCTATAAATTATAAACCCCCTCTCTAACAAACCCCCTCTATAAATTATAAACCCCCTCTCTAACAAACCCCCTCTATAAATTCTAAGCTCCCTCTAATAAACCCCACTCCAAATTATGAGCTCCCTCTCTAATAACCCCCCTTTATAAATTATAAACCCTCTCTGTAATAAACTGCTTCTACAAATTATGAACCTCCTCTCTAATAAACCAACTACAAATTATTAGCCCCCTCTTTAATAAACCCCCTCTCCAAATTGTAATTCCCCTCTCTAACAAACCCCCTCTATAAATTATAAGCTCTCTCTCTAATAAACCCCACTCCAAGTTATAAGTCCCCTCTCTAATTACCCCCCTTTATAAATTATAAACCTCCTCTCTAATAAATCCCCTCTACAAATTATAACCCCCTCTCTAATAACCCCCCTCCATAAATTATAACCCCCCTCTCTAATAAATCCCCTCTACAAATTATAAGCCTTTCTCATAAACCCCACTACAAATTATAATTTTCCTTTTTAACAAACCCCTCTATAAACCGCACTAGAAATTATAAGCGTCTTTTCTAATAAACCCCCTCTACAAATTGTAAGTTCCCTCTTTAACAATCCCCCTATCCAAATTATAATCTCCCTCTCTAACAAACCCCCTTTATAAATTATAAGCCTCCTCTCTATTAAAATAAACCCACTACATATTATAAGTCCCCTCTTTAATAACGCCCCCTCTCGAAATGTAATCTCCCTCTAACAAACTCCTTCTATAAATTATAAGCCACCTCTCTAATAAACCCCGCTCCAAATTATAAGCCCCCTCTCTAATAAACCCCATCTATAAATTATAAGCTCAACCTTGTAATAAACCTCTTCTACAAATTATAAGCCCCCTCTCTAATAAACTCCCTCTATAAATTATAAGCATTCTGTCTAATAAACCTCTTCTCCAATTTATAAGCTCTCTCTTTAATAAAACTCCGTCTTCAAATTATAAGTTTTCTTTCTAACAAACCCGTCTGTAAATTATACGCCTCCTCTCTAATAAACCCTCTCCAAATTATAAGCTCTC